CATGTGTGTATGAGTGTGTGTGTATGTGTGTGTGAGTGATGGGGTGCTGTGTATGAGAGTGTGAGTGTGCACATGTCTGTTTTGGGGTCTCGGCTACACGGCACTACATCCCTGCACCTCTGGCTTGTCTCCACACTCCCTCTCACTCCAGATTCACTGATCGTCTAGGGGCAGATATTCTTTATCAGACTCGGAAACGACTAATAAGTGACAAACGTCTTCTTCACTCAGCTTGAGCCGCCATTTCTCCTGGAGTAATATCTGCCTCAGTCTCAGCCTCCCCAAACTTATAGAGTAACAGCCACTCGCCATTAACGGTGGTGTGATTTATCAACACAAGCCCATAGCGAAGAAAACACAAATACACGTTAGAAAGAAACAGTATTTCCCAACGGCAGACTGCCGCGATGTCCTGGGGAGGGTCGATTTTGCCCTTTGTCCCCAGCCCTTCTCCCAGCGGCAGGCCAGCCAGAACAGCCCAAGAGTCCTCGAATTAGAGAGGACCACATCAGAGTCAGACTTCCTCATCCCAGCAGAGCTGCAGCTCGCGCTGGGCTCAGAGAGGGAATCTTCGGTTCATTTTCTTTTCGTGGCGTTTTTTTTTTTTTTTTTCCAGCACGAAGATGGTGAAGTGGTTCAGCGTCATCCTTGTAGCGACTTTGATGATGGACTGGAGAAGCTGGGTGAGGTTTCTACTGGGCATACCCACAGGGTTGGATGTGGAATCTGTTGTCTCTGACCTTCATTCATCCATCCATTCATTCATTCATTCATTCGCTCAGCAAAGCCTCCTGCTGTGTGCGGGGAGAGATAGAGTTCCGATCAGGCACCCTAAGTCCCTGCGCTCCAGGAGCTCGTGGGCACAGCAGAAAGCCCGAGGGGCCTCGTTGCTGAGAATCTTTGCTCTTGGAGAAGCGCAGTGGGCAATATGGAGAAGGTCGGAAGATCTGAGTCCTAGTCTCAGTCCTAGAACTTACGGGCTGTGTGGCTGCAGACTTGAGCTTCCTCCACTCCAAAATGGGCTAACAAGCCTTCTGCTCCCGGCATCATCTCCTTCCTGGCCACCTCCAAGCTGGCCCCTCGCGCCTTCCTTTCCTAGGAGATCAGACACGCTTCTCCCGGGACTCTGGGCTCTCCTATGGCTGAGTTTTGACTTCTGAACGCACCTCGCCATTTCCTGGGAATGTCCACGCCATGTGTTCTGGCCTCCTCCTCCTCCCCCTCTGCCCCCACCCCTATCTCCCTTGTCTAACTTTCGTTCCCCTTTTGGACCGTAAGCTCCCTGAGGGCAAGGACAGCCATGTCTGCTTGCCTTTGGATCCTCGTGGCTTAGTGCAAATCTTGGGGCTTAGTGAGGGCTTTTTTATTGGCTGGTTCATCTCAGAGCGACTCTTAGAGTCGGATGAAATAAGGATGCCCTCGATTTGTGGCCGTGTAACCGATTCGGCAAAGTGTTTTGGAGCCTGTCTGCCAGAGCCAGACTGCGGCAGCTGCGGCCGCTCCCATTCATTCATCTCTGCAAGGGCTTCATTCAGTCCAACCAGCGGAAGGCGATGGGATGTTCACCGTCAGAGGGGCCGTAGTGAAGGGGCCCCGGAGAAGACAGATTGATTGAGCGGGGGAAGAAAGAGCCGGAAAGTGCGAAGGTGATGCGGAAGAGTTTGGATTTGTGACAGGGCCAGAGACTGAATAGGGAGAGGTGAAATTGGGAGAAACTGAGGAAATCTGGAAGGAGAACATTCTCCAGGCAGGTCTAGGCTTCCCTTACAGCTTCCGGTGAAAGAGGGTTAAGGAGAAGGAGCAGGACTAAAGGGTGAGGACCTGGAGAGAGGGGGGCAGCCAGGTGACCCAGTGCACAGAGCGCTGGACCTGGAGTCAGTAAGACTCATCATCTCGAGTTCAATTTTGGCCTCAGACACTACGTACGCCGCCTCACCCTGTTTGCCTCAGTTTCTTCATCTGTGAAATGGGCTGGAGAAGGAAATCGTCACCCACTCCAGTGTCTTTGCCAAGAAAACCTCAACTGGGGTCACGAAGAGTAGGATGAGATTGAAAACGACTGAACAACAAACACCACCAGGAGATATTCAAAGAGAAGGAAGAGGGAAAGGTGGTTGGCAAGGTGAGCTAGGTGAGCAGAACAATTAGTAAGTTAAACAGACTGGTAACAGACAACAGAGGTGAAACAAAAAAGAATTAGGGCTGCTGTTGAAGCAAAGGGAAGGAAGCTGAGTGTCCTTGTCAAGTTACTGTTGTTCAGTCATGTCAGACTCTCCGTGACCCCATTTGGGTTTAGTTTTTGGTTTTTTGGTTTTTTTTTTTTTTTGGCTAGGCAATGGGGTTAAGTGCCTTTGCCAGGGTCACACAGCTAGTAAGTGTTATGTATCTAAAGCCGGATTTGAACTCAGGTTCTCCTGAATCCAGGGCTGGTGCTCTATCCACTGCCCCACCTAGCTGTCCCCATTTGGGGTTTTCTTGGCAGAGATACTGTGGTTTGCTATTTCCTTCTCCAGCCCATTTCACAGATGAGGAAACTGAGGCAAACAGGGTGAAGTGACTTGCCCAGGGCTACACAGCTAGGAAGTGTGTGATATCAGATTTGAACTCAGGCCCTCTTGACTCCAGGCCCAGTGTGCTCTGTCTGCTGTGCCACCCAGAAGTGTTCAAAGACTACAGAAGTCTTAAGGAGGTGCTTAGGAAGTGAGGTTCAACTAACCTGAACCCAGGAGTGTGCTGGTAAATGTTTAACAGGCTCTCAAACAAAACACAACCACGTGACACACCACTTTAATCTGTATCATTTACATTTCCCCCATTACTTTCTTAAATCAGGATAATCAACAAAACAAACCAAGCCCCAATTTGTGGAATTTGCTCATTTCCGAGGTTTAAATGCTCACTGTGAAACTTCACAATCAGCTCTCACAGCTGCATGAGCCGGCTCTTGCCCTCCCCTCTCTGAAGCCCTTCCAAAACAAAGCTGAGGACCCGTCAGCAGGGAGGGCTTGTCCACTGATTGCATCACTCGGTGACATTTGCCTTTTGATCCTAAACAAGAACGGTAAAGTTCCAAGTGTAGACAGCTCTCCCTCCCTCCTTGAGGAGAAGGTGAAGGGACTCAGGGAATAACTCTTCACTCTCCGGGTTATTGAGACAACAAAGCATTCCTCAAAGGAACCAGAATGGGATTGGAAAGGGCCGATGGGGAAGGTGACCTGAGGACAGAAGCAAGTGCTGGAAAAGAGAAGAGGAAGGAAAAGGGTGATGGAGCACTCAGATACCCCAAAACACAGCTTGGAGACTCTTCCTGAAGAGGGGAGAGCTCCTCCGTGCTCTGAGGAGGAAGCCGCTGCTTGCCTCCCAAAGGATGATAGAGTAGAGCCACAGAAGTAATCACATGATGGCAGCCAGGAAGGGGCAGAGGAAGAAGAGAAGAGTACTGGGGCTTGGTGCTCCCCTGCCCAGGTGTACTGTCAACAAGCATTTATTAAGTACCTGTCATGTGCCAGGCAGTGTGCTAAGTGTAAAAGCTAACACAGGATCCCTGCCCTCAAGGAGCTTACTTTCCTATGACAGCATGCAAACAACCAGTTCAAACAAGTTATATTCAGGATAAACTGGAGAGCCACAGAGGGAAGGCATTAGCCTCAAGCAAGGTGGGGAGAGGCTTCCTGTGGAAGGTGGGAAGGAAGCCAGGGAGAAAGAAAACTCGAAGGGAACATGGTTGGTCGTCAACCACTGGAAAGGCCGTCCTGTGAAGGAGGGATTAGGCTTGGTCTGTGTGGCCAGAGAGGGCAGGACCAGGATCATGGGGAATGTTATAAAAAGGCAAACCGAGGCTTGATGTCAGGAAAATCTTCCCAAAAAGTGGAAGAGGCTGTCTGAGGTGTCCCTTCATTGGAATTTTCAAGCTAGGATAGGATGACCTTTTTTTGTAGATTTGAGAGGGAATTCTTATTCATTTATGGGTTGGACTCGGGGCCTCTAAGGTCATTTCATTCTTGCCCTGACTTGGATTCTATGATTTGTCCCGGATATAAACCGATCTGGGTTACAAGGTCAGATTGGTTTGAGTACGAGATGCTGTGGCAAGGTTCATCAGTGCATTGGCTATAAGGAGTCAGGCAGCAGCAGGGGTCGAGGATATGGCTTTTCTGAACATGGGAGCCTGGAGGGATGACGGGTGCCTGGGCTCTCCTCGGCATAGGTGGGCGACCCTGGCCCAGACACTGCTCGGAGACCTTCCATGCTCCTGCAGGCAGCACACTTCCTGAGCTGAGGCTGTGCCATCCCCCAGGCAGGACTCACTGAGCGCTCCCCAGGCTGGGCCCAGCCACCCGGCCAGAATGGCCAGAGCCCAGGGAAGAGGAGTATTGGCCCCTGGGAGGTGGAAGACATCAGGGCTGGCCGGCTCCATCAAGTCAGTCGGTGGAGAGACAGCCTGTCTGTCTTCCCCTGCAGGCTCTGGAGACTTGCCTCCAGGAGCAGCAGAGGCTCAAGGACCAGCTGAGACTCCTGGAGGCCCAGGTCAAGCAGCAGCAGGTGAGGATCGAGCAGCTCCTCCAGGAGAAAGAGCTTCAGCTGCTTGACCGAGGAGATGAAAAGAGCGTCCCCCGCCTCGGGGGACGGAGGCAGTACGCAGGTCAGTCCGAGCCCCAGCCTTTCTTCCGCCTCTGCTCTGGTCTCCATCCTCTCCGTCCTCGGCGGAGGAGCATGGGGAAGGTTCTGTCCTCTCCACGGTCACTCAGCCCAGACAAAAGCCAACCATGAGCACGTTCTCAGTCCCTAATGTGTCTCTTGTACCTCCTTCAGGTCCCATTCTATTCCCTGCCCTCTCGGAGGTAACCCTTGAGATAAATGTGTAGCATGCAGACCTGTCTGTAAGAGACAGTCTGGAGCAGGCAATCGAGCTTGGAGATCTGGGATTCTAACCCCACCTCAGACACTTCCCAGCTGGGGTCCAGGAACTTGCATTCCAAACAAAGGGTGGCTGGGAGTCTCCTGACGGGTGCTTTGCCGACAGACTGTTCGGAGGTGTTCAATGATGGCCACAGACTCAGCGGTTTCTACAAAATCAAGCCCCTGCAAAGCCCGGTAGAGTTCTCCGCTTTCTGCGACATGGCGGACGGAGGCGGTTGGACGGTGGTGCAGAGGCGCTCCGACGGCTCAGAGAACTTTGACAGGTACCTGAGCGGCGGCTTGCAGGCTCTGTGCAGAGCAGTAGGCACCGCTCAGTGCTCCCACTGGGGTTTGAAGCTACCTCTTTCCGGATAAGACAAAATCCCGAGGATCTTATACCTGTTCCCAAAAGTGACCAAGAGGGCGAAGAGCTGTGGGCCCTGGTGAGTTAGGGAGAACGGGGTTCTCATCCTGCCCTGTCACTGATGTGTTCCGTGACCTTAGGCTAGTCAGTGCTTTCTCTGGGCTTCAGTTCTCATCTGTGAAATGGGAATAACAACATTCCTAGGCACTTTGGGATCACAAGCCCAAGCTGGGAGGGGAAGAAGGTGAGAAAGGGCTGGACAACGAGGCGGGTGGCAGCCATCTTTGGTTTTCCCTTGGATTTTCAGGAACTGGGATGACTACGAAAAAGGTTTTGGAAACTTTGTCCAAAAAAATGGTGAATACTGGCTTGGGAATAAAAACCTTCACTTCCTGACCACCCAACGTAAGAGGGACGTGGGGGAACCTTGTCTTCGTCAACAGTAAAATTCCTGCAGTGTGAAATTTTTAAGGTGTTTGGAGGATGCCCAGCTATGCTCCCTTTTCAGATGGGGATTGATGACTGTCAACAGAAAGGAAGGAGAGAAGGAGAGAGACAGACAGGAGAGAAAGAGAGAGAGGGAGAGGGAGAGAGAGACAGAGAGAGAGAGAGACAGAGAGCAAGGCAGAGAAAGAGGGAGAGAGGGAGGGAGAGAGAGAAAGAGAGAGAGAGACAGACAGAGAGGGAGAGAGTCAGAAAGAGAGAGACAGAAAAGCAGGAGTGGGGAGAGGGAGAGAGACAGAGACAGGAAAGAGAGAGACAGAGAAGCAGAGAGGGAAAGTGGGGAGGGGGCAGAGAGGGAGAGAGCCAAAACCAGAGCCAGACTCAAAAACGGAGGGATGGATCTAGCTAGACAGAGCAACAGAGAGAGATGGAGGAGCAGGACAGCAGGAACAGAGGAAGGAAGAAACAAAGAAAGAGAAGGCTGGCAGCAGGAGGGAGGGAGGCGGGCCCTTCAGCTGGAGCCCCTCCTGGTCCCCTGTGGATCCTCCATCTGTAGGCAGGAGAAGCCCCTGTTTTCTCGGGTCCCCCATGGGGGAGGGACTCAGGGGCAGCTGATGCTGGGGGCAGGACCTCTCTAATGTTGGCCCTTGGTGCCCACATGTGGTGGGCTGGGCACTCGCCCTCAGATGGCTCCTGGCCCCTGGTCTGTGCGCCTGGGCGGCCTCCTGGCTCAGATGGGTCTGATCAGCCGCAGTCGGACAGGCCACACTTGACTCCAACATAGCGATGTCATTTTGGTCCTCTTGGAGAATGAAGGACGCCACCACCCAGGGGGTTGCTCAGACCCCGGCAGGCCTGCTCCTGCTTCTTAATCTGAACTAGGCCTTTCTGCAAAGAGCAACGCGTTGGCCACTGACTTAACCCACGTCCGATAGCTCCCAAGCCCAGCTCCCTATGCCTTGTGACAAGTGACTGGCCGCTGGCCGGCGGCCATCCCTGGGCCCAAAGGGACCAGTAACCAGCCCTGAAAGCCTGGCTGAGTCCCGATCCTCTGAGCAGACAGAGGCCCAGGAGAAGTGGCTGCTCAAGGCCCTGCCCTCCCCCAGATTTCTTTTCCTCTGCTTTGGGTCCTTTCTGGACTTTGGGTCCATTGGAGCCCCGCCCCTTCCTTGAGCCTCAAGCTACGGCTTCCATTTACTGGCTTCCTCATGAAATGAAATCCCTGGAAACCAGCCCAGCAGGGCCTCGGCGCCTCTCTGCTTGGCCTCAACCCTTTTGTTCTCTTGGACATTAAGGCATTTCTGAAGGAGCAGGGCTGACTTTAGAAAGAAAATCTTTCTGGATGTCTAGTTTAAAAGACCCCAAACAAGTAAAAAAGAAAGGGGGGGAGTGACAGAGAGAGAGAGAGACACACACAGAAAGAAGAGAGGAGAGAGACACACACACACAAAGCAGAGAGACAGAGACACAGGGATAGAGAGACAGAGACAGAGAGACAGAGAAAGAGGAGAGAGAGAGCAGCAACAGATGCTGGTATATTAGTGAACCGACTGTGGTTGTGGCTTTCTCTTTTCTATAAAATGAATATTCCATAGAAAGTCGTGCCAAAACGAACACGTACGTGAACACAGACTGCTCCCGGAGAAGAGCAGAGCCATGGAGCTTGGGCGGCAGCCGTCTCCTCCACCCCACGCCTGACACAGAACTTCTCTCCTTCACAGCTTCCATTTCTCTAGTGTTCTGAGGTTTACCAGGCACTTGACATCTATTGTCTCATGAGCCTCACAATGGCCTAGTGAGGCAACAACTATAGGTGCTGTTTCCATTTTACAGATGAGGAAACAGTCCCTGAAAAAAGTGACTTGGCATCACACAACTATTAAGCGTCTGAGGCAGGATTTAAACCCAGATCATCTGGGTCCCATTATAGGGTACTCAGTAAGGGCTTGGAGATGTCCAGGGCCCTGGCTTTTAAGGCAGCCTGTTGTATTTTGAGAATATGAATCCAGCTTCCCTTGTTCTGAAGGTTTCCCTGACATTCGGCCTCAGCTGGCCTTTTGTGCAGCTTCTCCGCCTCCCCGCTGGTCCTGGCTCAACCCTCTGGTATAGCCCGTCAACTTTGGTCCTCCAGGGTCCCCTAGGTGAGGCATCCCTAGGTTCTGCAACTGACTCCCCTGTCACTACCCTCAGACAACCCGGAACACACCTCCTTTATCTCTTGTGGACCAACCCCTCCTGTACTCTGGAGAGGCAGTGCAGTGTAGCAGAGGGCTGGACTTCCTTTTGGGAAGACCTGAGTTCAAATCCTGCTGGAGACACTAGCTGTGTGACCCTGGCCAAATCATTTAAACTCTCTGAGCCTCGGTTTCCTCATCTATAAAGTGGGGACAGAAGTAGCTCCTCCCTCCCAAGGTGTTTGTGAGGATTAAATGAGATGAGACAGGCAAGGTACCCTGCAAACCTTGGGGCCCTCCTTCAATGCTAGGACTGTGGGGGAGCTCTCCTTCTGCCATACTTTGGTCTTTCCCTGTCCCCTTGTGTCCTTCATATTTGTAAGGGGCCCCGGGAGCCAAAAGGCCACCTGGCAGCCACCGGCTCCCCAGGAAGGGAGGGTTTGCTTGGGCCGCAGCCGTGAGCCACTAGTGAGCCAAGGTCAGCCAGGTCTCAGGCTCCGGGGAGTGATTGGGGCCAGCCAAGCATGGGGTGTCTGCTTGGGACGCAGACGTGACTGGTCAGTAGGCCGTGGGGTGTCTGCTGGGACGCAGACATG